TGTTTCCCCTGCTATTTTTGATTCACTTATGGACTCCCCTATCCTTGAAGAATGGTCTTCAACGATTTCCTCCATGCCTAATGATAAAGCCCCAGGACCTTCTATGATCTCATATGAGATGTTGAAACATTTAGGACCTTCTGCTTCTGCTCTTCTTTTTAACCTAATTTGTGCCTGTTTATCAGATGCAAATATCCCTGATTTATGGAGATAAGCTACTGTCTTTCCTATTCCCAAACCGCATGAATGAAAATGCCAACTTAAAAATACTCGTCCTATTACTTTATTAGAAGTGATTCGCAAGGCTTTGGTTAAGCTCTTTTACAATCACTTTGCTCCTTTGCTCGCTTTCCACCATGTTCTTCAAGGAGGAAACTTCGCAGATTTACCTGGAGATTCCTGCCGTGATCCTATTATTACACTGGAATCTATTATCCATGATTCAGTAGTCACTAAACAATTCTTATGGATTCTCTCTCAAGACATTTCAAAGGCGTTTGATTCTGTTGATCTATCCATGTTGCGTTTTGCTTTACAACGCTTACGTCTACCAGAAAATACTATTCAATTCTTATTTTCTTTATTTATGTCACATTTTAATCGTGTCATTACTGCACATGGCCCTACTTTGCCATATAGAGTTAGAATTGGTATCAACCAAGGTGAAGTTATCTCTCCACTATTATGGGTTATTTATTTAGACCCTTTGCTCACTGCCCTCAAAAATGAAAAGAAAGACCCTTATTGTTTGGTTTCTCCAATGGCTTCCGATATTGTTTCATCAAACTCTTGTTCTCTGGATGTTTTAGAGATTAATAATTTGGTGTTTATGGATGATTCCACTTTGATTTCTTCTTCTAAAGAGGGAATGGAACATATGTTGTCTATCACTGAAGAATTTTATTGTTTGAACAACACTTCAGCCAATCATAATAAATATGTTCTAGCCACCAATGCAGTTGCTATTTCTCGAGATTTATCTTCTATAGCCTTTAATTTGATGACTTCATCACTCAACACTACTACCAATATTAAGGTTACTCCTATCCCTATGTCTTCATCTTTCCATTTTTTGGGCGTTTGGTTTAATATTAATGGCTCTAGGAACTTTATTCGACAACAACTCAAGCGAGAATGTAATTCTTTCTCTGCAATTCTCCGCCCGGCGAAATTGACTGTTCAGCAAGTGGTATACCTTTATAATACTGTTTTGCTTCCGAAATTGGATTATCGAATGCAAGTTACGCATTTATCTGAGGTTGAATGTTCTACTATTACTTCTTCGATTCGTGCTTTAGTTAAACACAAGGCCAAATTATCACGTTCTGTTCCTAATGTAGTGTTATATTTAACCCAAGCTTTGGGTTTGATCAATTTATTTTCATTTCAACAACAAAGTCATTTTACTAATTTATTTTTGTTAGCAAATTCTTCTTCTGTTTTTATGAAGTTACTTTTTAATTATAGGTTGAGATTTATTCAATTTTATTGTTTAATTCCTATTTCTCCTTTGATGGTTTTGGATTGGTCTTATTGGTCTTCTCTTATAATTTTTAAACAAGATTATATCGCTAATACTTTAGCTTCATTGCTCTCTACTCCTTTCCGTCTGTCACGTGCTATTTTATCGCCTGTGCCTGATTTGACCTATCCTAATGGCCATACTCCCATTTATCAATGTCTTTCTCTGGATGTATTTAAGGCCAATTTAACGAGGCTTCGGAAACGTAGCCTTTTTTACCTTTCGCAACTTTTGACACCTCAAGGAACACATTTACTCTCTTGGTCTGTCATATATGCTAACTCTATTCAAAAGCGTGGTAATGCCCGTCTTCTCAATTGGTATAAAAATCTTTCTGCTAATGTCACGATTCCAGATAAACCTGGTTTGTTGAAAGATCAATTTATGATTAATCAACGCCCTGTGAGCCAAATTGCAAAAGAACTTGCCCTTTGTACTCCTCCTTCTGGTTATAAGAAGAATTGGATTGTCACGATGAATGATGATGGCTTTCCTATATTTGGTAAACAGATTCAGCTTCAACCCAAGCATTCCATCTGTACTATCGTACATTGGACTTCAGACTGCTTATCTCGTCCGAGTGACTTGATCACTTTACAACCTTGTCCTGGCTGCAACTTGAATATAAACAAATCTTCGTATTCAAAGAAATTTGTTGCCACTAGCGCTGTGTCCTCTCCTATTCGGTCTCTTTTAGTCACTCATGGATTTTACCTATGAAGAAATCATCCATTACGAGTCACACATCCAGCTTGACTGCTACAGTGTCATGGGCGGAAATCATGGATTTTGTTACTTCAATTTGTAATTCTTCAACTCGCTCAGTGTTAGCTGTTGATATTCCTAATATTTCTTTTAATACTGCCGATATAGTTTCACCTACTCCACGTTTACTTACAGCTGGCGATGTTGCCACATCATCATCGGTCGTGCTTTCTCCAGATTCACATTACACCTTTTACACTGATGGCTCTCTTATTAATTTAGGAACCAGTGATGTTTCTATGGGATGGGGCTGGGTTCAAATTGTCAAAGACTCTGGCTTTCTTAATTCTATTGCCACTTATAAGCGGGGTATTATTCGCGACTGGCCTTTCTCTTCTCGTGCCGAAGCTACTGCTATTTATGCTGCCTTATCAGCCTCTCCTGCCAGCTCTGTTGTTCATATTTATACAGATTCACAGTCTTCCATTGAGGGTTTGAAACATTGTTTCTTATCTGATTATTCAGATTCTCGTCTTTATTATAAGACTACCAATTTTGAACTTTGGGCCATCATCCAACAACTGATTGTGGATAAACAACTCTAAGTTTTGCCTTTCAAAGTAAAAGCTCACTCTAATTTTTACTGGAATGACTTTGCTGATTCTCTTGCCAATACTGCCCATACATCTGACGATGCTGTTCTCATCTCCCGTCTCAATCTCGCCGCAGTTCATGATTATATTATGATCTATGATGACATAATCTGTGAATCCAACCCAAGACATCTGTTTAAACAATATCATCAAATGTTGTATATGAAAGACCTTTTAGCTCTTTCTCGCTTCTGTTTTATTTCTCTTTTAACGGATCCTTCTTGATATATGGTTGACTGGGCTCTTACTTGGCATACGTTAATGTTTCAACCTAAATTTGATAACTCTTTCACTAAGGAAAATGTCTCTAGACATCACACGCTAAAATTTCAACTTTTTCTGGAAGACCTACCCACTTTGGAATCATTGAAAAGGACACGACCTAATTTATATGTGGAAATTCTAACTTGTCGTTCTTGTGATGACCATTTAAAAGATTTTATGCATTTATTTTTATGCAAAAAGCGTCGTGTTAAATTACATCAACTTTTAACATCTTATCTTCACCACCTTACCCATAAAATCAAAGAAGCAGGTGATAATGCCAATTGTGACTATTCTTCTTTAGTGGATAGAATTACTTCCCTTCCCTGTTGGTCTTTCTCATCTAGTAACTGGTCATCCTATAGTCTAATCCGTGGCTGTTTGCCTACCGCCTTTCTGGAAGTTTTTGAAACCCTAGGTATTCCTCGCCTCGCTGCTATGAATGTGGTTGCCGCCATACATAACAATTTTGTTAACAAATTCCGTAAACGAATTTGGAATCCGCGTTCGTATGATAAAAGATTATGGGAACATGCGATAAACATTACTTCAACACTTAAACAATTTCCAAGGCCTAAAGGATTGCTTAAATCTTCTTATTTACCTTACTCATCTTTACCTCCTCTGACCCATGTTGATTCACGTGACTCTGGAACCGATTGGTTAAAAAACTTGATGCAATATGGATTATCTTAGTTTAATTACATTTCGGGTTTTATGGGTCGTCTAACGGTGCTACTTAATAACCGCTTTTGCAGGATAGAGTGTCGATTTTAATAGTGGGCGCGTCATTCGTTATTATGTTAGTATAGTTGCTTCTACTTTGATTGGAATATATCAAGGGGAAGATCTAGGAAGTGTTAGTATTAGCGATTTTTCTTTTGAATCTTCTTTTAATTTTAATTTCTTTCTAGGAGACTATATAGCTTTGTTTTTAGTAGTTTTTATTTTATTTTTCTTTTTCTTTTATGTAATTTTGTAAAGTTTGATAAATAATTAATAAAGATAAAGGCTGTTATGCCGTATTTGCCCGAAAGTGTGACTTATGACCTGTTTTGGAGATATCTGGGGTCCTGACTTATTTATCGATTTATCTATTTCAAGACTTTCTGCGATAAAGGTTATCGCTGCCATTCATAATAATTTTGTTCAAAAATTCAGAAAACGAATTTGGAATCCGCGTTCTTATGAAAAATGTAGATGGGAAAACACGATGAATATTACCTATAAGTTGAAAACTACTTTGAAGCCATCTAATTTGCCTTTGTCCACATACATACCTTACTCATCTTTACCACCTCCGACCCTACACGATTCACGTGACTCCAAAACCGATTGGTTGAAGAACTCGATGAAATATGGTTTGCCTTGGTTTAATCACTTTTCGGGTTTTATGGGTCGTCTAACGGTGCTACTTAATAACAGCTTTTGCAGGATGGAGTGTCGATTTTTATAGTGGGCGCGCTATTCGTTATTTTGTTAGCATAGTTGCTTCTACTTTGGTTGGAATATATCAAGGGGGAAGATCTGGGGAAATTTAGTGTAATGCGATTTTTCTTTTTTTGATTAATTTTTTACTTTATTTTTTCTTAGGAGACTATATAGCTTTGTTTTTAGTTAGTTTTATTTTTATATTTTTCTTTTTATTTTTCTTTTGTAAATTGTAAAGTTCAGATAAAATTTAATAAAGATAAAGGCTACTATGCCACGTTTGCCTAGTTTTTAACCAGTGTATGGTAATGTCTATAATAAATATAAAATATTCATTAAGATATTTATGTTAAAAATATCATTTTCTCTTTTAATCTATCTTGTGTTATTTTAATAAATTAATTTATCATAAATAATAAACTTTTTTATGATGGAATAACATTAAAAAAATGAAATACTTCATCTTCATCAATTACAGCAACCTTGGTACCGCAAGTTTCAAATACAACAGAATAATAAGTTTCTTGTCCAGTAATTAGTTCATTAGATAGTTTCTCATTTTTACTTTTACGATTTTTATTTCTGAGTCTATTTTCATTATACAATAATTTTTCTGTTCTAATAATCTTACAATTTTCAACAAAAATTGCACGATACTGATTTGAATAAAGTTCGTGTCTATAATTGAAATTATAAATGAAGTTGAAAGAAAATGAACAACATATCATAAATACACGCATATATTTTTTTAGTCAATTTACCTTTGTGTATGATAACTCAATGGAGTGAAACATAGAGGACAAGATAATATGGCATCTGTTCCACTCGGTATCTCTGATGATTTTGACGTCGATACTTTTTGTTTAGCCTTTGAAGAATATCCTATATGAACACACAATAATGATTAATAAAGTTTAAAATAACAAAAACATTAATAGAGTATATTTAACATACGAGATAATTTCTTTTCCATCCAAAGTTCATCTTGATTGTCTAATTCTGGGTCATATAAAAGTTCATCATTCGTCAATTTTTTCCTTTGCTCTTGATTTAACAATTTCTTTGATTCTAAAAAAAAAGACTATTAATATTTGGCTTTGAATCAAAGATTTTCGAATTACAAAGAAATAAATGATAATATGACAATACTTTTAGAAGAAGCTTCTGGAACATCAGATTCTTCTTCGTCTGTTGTGTCCGAATCGAAGTATAACTTATCATAATATTCTTCTTCATTATCCGTATCATTATTAACGGGAAGGGTTTTTGAAAAGGACATTACAAACAAGTTTAAAATTTAGAATGGAACCGCATTGATAAATTAATAATCTCACGTGATTCGTGATACAAAATCTTGCTATATAATGATCGCCAAATTCGTGATTACGCGTTTCGATTATTTCACGTATTAAAATGCCACCAAAACGAAAAATACCTCCCTGTGGTAATCCTTTATATTTAAAATGGTTAGAAGAATGGATGCAAGAAGCTAAAGCTATCAATAATAATAAAAGTTATTATGTTTATAAAAAGGTTATATTAAAATATTTTTTGAATTTTATATACGATTTATTTTCGTTATTTATGTATGTTCATTATAAAGGCACATGATTCAGTGGAAAAATATCCAATACCTTTTCAACACCCAGCTGAAACCGTAATTTTAAATGGTATTGGTCCTACATTAATACAAAAATTAGAAAGAAAACTAAAGCAGTATTGTGAAGAAAACAGACTACCTATGCCTTTACGACCTGGTAGCTTTCAAATAATATTATCATTATTATCATTTTATCAAATTTTAATTAAAATAATTAAAATTCAATTATATAGATGAAGAAACAATACGTACATTAAGTCAAAACATTGATCAAAATCAAGAATTTAAATCTACTGAACATGAATCGAAAAAACAAAAGAAAGCTACGATACCTAAAACCTATGTCCCACAATATCGTTCAGGATCTTACGCAATTATGTTGGCACTTTACAAATCTTGTGAATTTGAATCAACTCCATCAATGACAAAAACAGAACTTATAAGAGAAGCACAACAATACTGTGATGCATCTTTTGATATGCCAAGTGCTCACCAAAAATATTATACTGCTTGGAGTTGTATGAAAACTTTATTGGATAAGGATTACGTTTACAAAAATGGTTATCCAGTAAGATTTTCATTAACTGAATCCGGGCTCAAAATTGCAAAACAAATGGTACAGACCGCGAAATCACAAGGAAAAGTGATTTTCCCAAATGTTGATATAGATCAACTTGGAGCTAGAAAGTATGCTGAACGCGAAATATCTCTTTCTGTTAATGATAATTTAAATTATTCTAACGATAAAGAATCAGGAATTATCGCCTTAAATAATTCAGAAGTATTTTTGACAAACGATTTCAACAAAATTGGAAAAGGTCAATTAATTCGATCGACAACTTCAACGATATCATCTGTTAGTAAATCAAACTCATTTTGTGACATTAAGCCTGTAGAATGGGCACCCGGTACTTTTGAAGTAATTTTAATTTTGGATAACAGAGAAGTCAAATTAAAGAAGGATCGTGATTATATTCAAGACACTTTACAACAAAAAGGTTTAAAGATATCAGTTAGAAATTTGGAACTTGGTGATGTTATTTGGGTGGCACGTAAATATAATAGTTTCACACAAGAAGAGATTGTCTTGGACTACATTATAGAAAGAAAAAGGATGGACGACTTGGTTAGTAGTATTAAAGATGGAAGATTCAGAGAGCAAAAGTTTCGTCTTTCAAGATCTGGTATAGGTCAAATTATTTATCTTATCGAAGATTATAATCTGAAAGAAGTTGCAGAATTTGGAATTGATGCTATTAAATCTGCAATGACATCCACTCAAGTATTGAATGGTTTCTTTTTGAAACGTACTGGCGCAATTGATCAAAGTATTGATTATTTGGTTAGAATGACAAATATGCTAAAAAAATTATATGAGGTTTATATTGTTAAATACAATTTATTATATCTCAAATTCTTGTGTTATTAACCTTCTTTCATTTTTTTCTAGAATAAAACTATATATTCTATTCCAGATGGAGCAATTTATCGTGCTAATTTCTTGGACTTGAAACAAAATCTCGCCACTATTTATACGAATCGTACATTTCATGTCTCATTTGCTTCATATTCCGACCTTAATAGTAAAAGTAAGTCTTTAACATTGAAAGATACTTTCATAAAGTTTTTAATGACTATTAGAGGGTTAAGTGCTGAAAAAGCTGCAGAGATTGTAAAAATTTATCCAACTCCACATCATTTATTTGATGCTTTCGATTTTTTGGACAATGAAGAAGAAAAAAAGAAAATGCTTATGAACGTTGGTGGAAATATGATTCGTAGAAAGAATATTGGTTCAGCTCTAAGTGAAAAAGTTTATCAAATTTGGAATAATGATGTTTACTTGTAAAAAGAATTTAAAAATCGAATTAATGTTAACGTGGTCCGATCAATAAAAACTATAAAATTGCGATTAAAAAACCTTTCCACCCGCGTAGTTTGCTAGCATTTAACAATTACCGTAAATGAAATGGAACGTCTAAAGATCGAAAAAATTCATCAGAAGATATAGCTACACAACAGTCCCGTGATTGGCATAGCAATCAGATGAATCACTTTGCTATAAATTTCGTCTTTTTTCTTTTTTTTTTTTGAAAAACACGGTGAAGTATCATCTTAATAAAAATTTTAGTTAGCTTAGCTTATAGAAGCTTGAAGCTTACAGAGATTTATTAGTTCATGTTTTAACAGCAGATAGTAAAAGATATAAATATATATTTTATTAGACTGTATAGAAGAAAAAATGTAAACAAAACTAATTGTCCGGAGCGAAGCGAAGGACTATGTGTTTTCGAAGTGACGATATCCGGTTGTCCGCACGCGTCACGTCATTGAAATTCCGTGCTACATCAGATGAAAATAAATTTGTATTACATCAGATAAATAAGTTCGATTTGCGTCAGATGACAACTGCATATTTTAAAGAAGGAAATTTCCACCAATATGAATCCGAACGTGTTGAAATTTTAGCATTATATATTTAAAAATGTGATGAACTAATTTACTTAGGCAATAAAGGCACATTAAGACTGAAAAATTTTATGTTTAATTATAGCTAAAATTTTGAATAACATTATCTGCGATATATAATTCAGCATTAATGGTATTTACTTGAAAACTTGAAATTTTCAGGATATACCGTATTTTATCGAAATTAAGCACCCCCTTTTTGGAGCGAAAAGTTTGGGGTGGTGCTTAATTTTGATACTTTTTTTTAAATTCAACCGTTAACGATTTTTTTCTTATGGCGCAGTTTGCTAAGCTGCGCACATGATTGAATTAAGGGTTTTTTATTTCAATTACGCGTATAAACGCGAATTTTGAGTTTCGCATGACCTTTCTGGAAAAACAATGCCAAAGATTAAATGTCAACGTGCTTCGTATTCCATTGAACAAAAAAAAAATGTTGTTACTTACGCTACTCAACACAGAAGAAATGCGGCAGGCAGACATTTCAAAATTGACCAAACTATAATTGGACGCTGGATTAAGGCAAGCAAAACTTGGACAAGTAAAATAAATGATAAAAGTATGCGGGTGGGTTCTGGTCGAAAGGCTTTCTATCCTGAAGCTGAAAAGGAGCTATATGACTGGATTTTAGATCAAAGGAAAAAGAGATTAGCCGTAACATTTGTAACCATAAGAATTTCAATAAATGAAATTTTGGATAGAGCAGATATGGTAGCTCTTTATGGTGATTTAATAACGGAGTTTAAAGCAACTACAGGTTGGTTAAATGCCTTTATGAAGAGGCATAATTTAATAAGGTATCAGCGTACAAAAATATCACAAAAACTCCCTAAGCAATTAGAAGAAAAGTTGGAAGAGTTTTACCGGTTTGTTATTCACCTTGGAATTCAGAAATCTTTTGA